ATTGAGCCTTCGGGTGGAGGAGACCAGCTTGTAATTGATTTGTCCTTTAAAGATGAGCACCTTGCTTAGCAATAAATAAGTAAAATAGCATGAACAAACAGCAAATTTTCCAATTATTTGATTAATACATGTAAAAAATACAGAATCTATCGATTATCCTTCACACAAAATTCAAAATATTATTAAATTTAACACCTAATACATAAAGTTCATATGCTTTCCAACAACATGTGGGCCAGGGAGGGTTGGGTTTAGCCTAATACTGTACCCTATGTGTTGTAGAATCCCAAAACCCATCCCCACCTCAAAATCTGTCCTTCAAGCAAAAAAACCTGCCCCAACCCCCCAGGTAGGGTAGAAATTGTCATCCCTAGGAAGGGGAGCGAATGGCCATTCCTTCAAAATGGGGAATGCCATTCCACTAGAAATGAGAATGGGATTCCAATTCTGACCAACCAAACATCTGATTCCGATTCCAGACCCCTATTCCTGCAAACCAAACATGCCCTAAGATGTAAAGCCCCTATATTGTTTAATATGAGTAAAGTAATTTCAATAAAAATGAAAGATCAAGAGGGGCTCTCCTCCATTTCCTTTTTTTCCCTTCTTCCTCCCTCCTCAAAACACTATCTTTTGTATTTTAATCTTAAAACCCTAAAATGAAAAAAATAAGTGATAGGTATAGTATATGGTAAGACATTAACATGCATATTAAAAAGATTTACCCCATATTAAAATTATAATAAGGCACCACCTTGTTATTTTTGTTGCCCTGTTGCCTAGCCAATACCTTTCTGAAATAACTAATGGCATTCAGGATAATGCATATTACTAAGATTTATCCCATAATAAAATTACAACAAGGCACCTGCCTTGTTATTTTTGTTGCCTTGTTGCCTAGCCAATACCTTTCTAAAATAACTAAAGACATTCTGGACAAGCACCTGCACAAGGGCACCTTTTCCCCTAGGCAGGTGCCTAGGTGATGCCATGACAACTAAGTATGTATGATTATTTTTTGTCACTTTGGTTCCATATACCCCTTTGCCAGAGCACATTCACTTCATTGCTATACTTTTAGTTTTTTATTCAATGTATACAAGGCTTACTTACGCATGGTTAAGGGGTTAAAAAAACTTCAGAAAACATGTAGCGGATAAAAATGATGGTAAATGGTTAATGACAATTCTCAACTACGAGGCCTACCCTCCCAACTTGAGGCATGAAAAAAGAATTTCATACCTCACCACAATAAGATCTAAGCCATATATTTCATACCAAAAAATATATTTCACATGCTTAACCTTGTTGCTTGACTTGCTTCAATGATTTTCTTTTCATAAAAAAGGCATTGCTTAGAACATCTATAAGTAAAACAAAATGTTACGATAAAGCATATTATCAGTGCATGTGCAAGTAAAAGCAACAAAATACAAATGTAGAAGAGATGCATAACTGCCATTTCTCTAGAAAATTTTCAACCTACCTGATATAAAAAGAGAAGAAGTCCATGTGCAAAATGAACCCATCTTGGGGGAGCTGAATCTAAATGAGGTGAATACATCTGCAATTTGGAAGAGATTAAAGGAATTTACAGATAGAGATAACAATTCACTAAAAGCAAACAAATTTTACAAGCTGCCTGCTTTAAAATAGTGATAAAGTAATGATTGAGTGAAACTAGTTAAATAGACAGATTCCTTGTAGTCGGTATGGCTTCTGTGAGTTTTTCTTGACACTAATTTCCATAACACAATTTCTGTTAGATGTTCATCCAATAAGGTAATTTTTGAAGTTCCCATTATCAGAAAAAAAAATCCAAGAAAAGATCGTGCATTTTTGTGATAAAAATTGTATTGTTGTTCTGACATGATTATATTTAAACATGTAATCCTCTATCAAAGCCATCTTTGCAGTTGATGTTATTTATACTGTTCTATAATGTGACTCCCTTTCTTGCCCACATTTGATGGAGTAATTGTTGAGAATATACTCACTTCATGATAGGGTGCACACAGATAAGAAATACAACTGGAAATTCCAGGCAGTATTTTCACTTCCTGATAGAAGCTTAGGCTCTGGGTTCCAGAATTCATCTGTTTTCCAATGTCCCAATGTTGGTAAAATTTGTAGTTTATGACTTAGCCAGGACACAGAAAGGGATTAGCCAGGTTGCAGTTCAGTTGGGGTTCCCATGTAGGGACATAGGTATTTGATAGCTAGCTACCTATTGATGTACTAAGTTGTTTGTTTTCGTTTCTTTGCTGTAAATCTTAGATTGAGAGTGAAATGAACGTACTTCTCTTGTATCTTCTTCTCATCTATGAAAAGCACCTCTCCTTGCCAATAAAAAAAAAAAAGTTAAAGTATTTAACTGCTTATAATGTCATGATACCTAAACATGCTTTACATACTAATTTTGACACAAACACCTAACATAATAAATGATTTAACCGTTTTTAGATGTTACTCAACTTATCCTACTAATTAGCATACTTGTTTGGTCAGAAAATATATAAATGGTACACTCCATGAAATTTTACTATTAGAACTTTGTAGACATTAGATGAACATTTGAATTTGATAGCATACCAAATACAGAAAGGGTAAGTAATGCAGAAGACCAAAAATTTGGAGCATTATACCAGCATAATGGATTTGAATACCTGAATCCTATCCCCAATCTGGTACCCAGCATAATGGGTTTGAACACTTGGCCTTTTGTCACTAAGAAAACCAAACTAAAGTATATCACAATGTTTCTGCAAGTTGGTTAACATTGTTTCTCCTATTGAGCTCCACATAATACAAGCTACTTGAATCTTTCCAACAAGAAAAACAATAACAAGTTCTCATAAACTACCAACTAGCCCAATGCAACAGCATAGAACACTACCACAGATCAAGAATTAGAACACAACCATAAACCAAAGAAGTACAAATAAGAGAAGCTCCCACTTACGTAGCCAAGAAATGCAGATATAACCAAGAACATGAAACCCATAAGTGTTATCTGGGAAACAGAAACGAAACCTATTAGTAAATAAGAAAGAAGAAAAGCTAATATTACCAAGAAATACTAGTAAACATGACAGACAAGATGACTATAAAAGATTGCCTTACCATATTTGGTCTGGAGAAGCACCCAAAATTGAAAACATAGAAAAGAAAATTATAATTAGCACCTTCAGTGTAAAGTTACTAAACTTGGACTGACATAGAACATAGTAAAGGTATGTGATGAAAAATACACCCAATTAGGAAATGCTAGACATACTGATACGAAGATTCAAAGAAACAGACATCATTTACTGATAATTATCAATCAATCATCAAATACTAAACATCTAAAAATGCTAAGTCAATGCTGCTGTCATGCCTTAAGCATGAAGGTCCACTACCATTTAGTCCATGGGGCTGCAAATAAGAGAACGCATGCAGTTGGTTTAATATTCAACAACATCCAAGATCTTGAAAATGCACGTTGAGTAATCATACACTCATACAGTAAAGTGGTTCAACTGTCCCTCTCAAAAACAGCAACCACTATCTCCCCCTTCTCAAAATTCCAACCAACTGGCTGAACTTTTCAAAAGATAAGCAACCCTAATAGACTTTCTAGTCTGAATGTTCTGCAATCCCATCAGATAAATAATAAAAAAATAAAAAATAATTAAACTTATCAAAAAAAAATCCCATCAAATAATTAATTTTAATTTTTTATCAATAACTCACAACTTTCATTAGATTAAGGAGAAAAAGATACAGGGTTACAGGTTTAGGGGAGATAAGCTCTCTTAACTTTCCCACCCAAAGACAAAAAACAAAGAGAAAAAATTACAAGATAGCCCAGAACAAAGAGTCCCTAGTTACCCCTTGTTTAGCTAACTCATCGGCAAAGGAGTTAGCACTAGGGGTGCTCATAAAAAAGAAAGGAGATAGAAGGACGACCAACAGGATTGGTCAAAGCATTGTCAAGAAACAGAGACTAGGGCCTAGGGGTGCTCATAATAAAACTGAAAAACTGAACCAAAAATTCTGGTTAACCGAACCGATCGGTGTGTGTGTGTGTGTATACTGATCAATAATATATATACATACATATATACTATTTATAATATATTATAAATATAAAAAACCTAATAACTGGAACTGGTCAACTGGTAGCTTCGGTTCGGTTCCAGTTTGGGGATTTTCAACAACTGGTAGTACTGGTTCAGCTTTATAAAATAGCCCAGGGTTCGGTTAACTGAACCATGAGCACCCCCAGACAAGACCAACACTATATTAGATAAAATCAAGGACACACATGAGCCCCCTCTATACCAGAATATCTTTCCTTTTTGACCATTAACAAACCCCCAAAAAAAAACTTGTACTAGATAAATAAAAATGTATAAAGGATACCGCAGAAGCCCACCCTACATCAGAATTTAACAGCTCTGCCATCTAATTAATCAATCTTAAAACCCAAGAGAAAGAAACATCTATTCATGTTTGATGATGATAAGAACCAGATTTATTCTATAAAACTGGACATCCTCTACCAATGTTTTTCTACATTCTTCTTCTCAATTTTAATATAATCCTAATGTCACCTTTAATTCATCCAACTTAAGCTGCTTAACAAACACCACCTTCCTCAAATGGTTGTGAAAGACCACTGGAATAAGGTGAAACTGGTTCCAAATGGAATAACCACCAAAATGCCATAAAGTAGCTTTCAGATATGACCATGCCATAAGGCGCCAATTCCTCAAAATAGTGTTTGTCAGTTCTATGCATAAACTTTGATTCTGCTGGTAACTTTATCTATACATGATTTCTATTTAAAAATCATCATATATCCTTCTTTCCATAAACATAAACAATGTCAAGTTTGTTCTTCTCACACAATCCTTCTAAAAATTCTTTGTTATTGAGTCCATTTATAATCTAAAACCTGCCCAACCTTACATTGGTTTCTTTTCTCACTTTCCTTGAAAAGAGGAATGGAGACTTATAATACTCCTAGGTAACCCCAGGAAGAACTCTGGATAAGGTTTGCAAAATTTAAAGTGCATTTCCAATCCTGTGAAGACCCAAAATATCACCGACGTGTAAAGATAGGATCAGTTTACATGGTAAACAGGTTAGTCAAACACTCTGAAGCGGAATATCCGTACATCCACCATCCGTATATCCAAGTTCCCATAGCGTTATCTCTTAACCAACTCACTACTACTTTAGAATCTCCCTCCACCATGATGTTTCTATAATTTAAACTCCTTCCCAGCTTCAGACCTTGTAACACCGCCAATAGTTCAGCCCTTATAGAGTTTCCATTCCTAATGGGCCCCAAATAAAGGGCCATTATTTTTTTATTTCTTTTTGAAGGGCTACACAACGGGGGGGGTAGCCCATCCCCCAACCCAGGTGCAGGTGGGATTCAATCCCAAGGTGTGCACACTTTGTATCTCACCATAGATGAACAAGCAATAATTTGCCAATTTCTTGCAACATTGTCATGGGATACCGAGACAAAGATGTTCAGCACATTTACCCAATGTGTCACTCTAGCCATATTGCCATATTAGTTCCAACTTCCAATTAGGACCTCTTTAGCTAGACCTTTATCCTCAAAGGTACTCCTGTTCCAGTCTTCCCACACTTCTACACCACTGCTGCTCTCAGACACTTCCAAAGAGCTCTACCCAGATATCCGTATATATTATTTTGCATATTTAAAAGTGTTAATGCTGTAGAGTGCATCTAGAAGTGTCCATGCATCACCTGTAAGTGTCATGTGTCTGACATCTACATGCTAGGGATGTATAGGTATCTAGGTATCATGGTTTGTGCTACTCATACATATTATTTATCACGTTAATTTACTATTTAAAACTTCCTTGTCAAAATCCAATGGATTATCTGTTTAGACTATCAAATACCGTCATTAACTTAATAAAGACCATGTGAAGGCCTTTCCACTTCTTTTCAAACTTATTCACAAGTAACAAGCATAGCCTTAATAATTGATTAACCTAACACAAATCCAGATTCAGCTTCAATATATTTATTCCATATTTTTTTATCAATGGATATTCCATATTTTAACCCTTGCTCAATTTGTCTCTTCCCTAATGTTCCATGATGTTAGTCAGAAATGTCTCATTCCATACAACTTGTGCAACATTGTAGATCTAATTTATTCTTGTACTTAGGTACTACAATATTTTCCCTACATTCATCGATCATTTCTGCCTTACAAAATGGTTTAACAACTCAATCAAATATACAAATGCCTCCAGACATTTCAGACCTCTATAAGGTTACAATCCAATCATAAATCCTATCTACGTTCATATTTCGAAGAACAAACTTAAATACCCATTCCTGCAAAAGTACATGTAACCTTTCATCTTCATGAAGTTGATTCCTTGTCCACTTAAGCATCCAGCATGATCCTAATCTAATAATTTTCTTAAAAGGCATTATTCAAATTTCCTTTCTTTTCTCATCTTCCAACAAAATCTTCTGATCATCACTCTTAATGCATGTAATTTGGTCTTCATCATGATATTTTTCATACCTCCATATGATTGATATGACAGCATAAGTTGCACCACTGCAAATCCTAGTGGAACCAAACTTTGGAAATCTATTAAGAATATCTAGGTTCATGATTGATGTCAACAAGGAGATAGAGATAAAACATACCACATACCACAGAAGGTAACTTCTATAGCAAGTTGATGCATACTCAAAAAACCAAAACAATGGAAAGAAAGGGCTAGCAAGATACACTGCTATCGAGTCCCTAACATCTAATTGTTGTTTTAGTGCATAATTTTGCTTAGTATTTGAACATCAACTATATGCTCCAATCTTAAACCATCTTCTTATCAACATATACACAGAGGTTGAGTCAAGATCATATAAATACCTTGTATTTGTTCAAAAGATCAATATGTAACTACATGGAGAATACAAATATGTGACCTAATCACTGTTGTGGTTGGACTTGCAATGTGAACATTCTGAGGAAATCCCATTGTTCAATGTTTACATAACAAACAATATTAAAGTTCAGCTTCCAGTGGATAAGTTAATGTAGGTTCTTACTTCCAGTGCTGTAAGTGTTAAGTCAAGTAAAGGAGGCAGTAAGAAAACAATATCTAAGTTGTATGAAGTCATTAAATTCAGCTTGCCACTCTGCCCTACAGCTAATGAGAATAACACAATCAAAAGATAGGAAAGCACTTACGGCATCCAAAGAGGAAAGAGATTAACACAGCGAGTCCAGAAAGGCTGCAATACATATTTTGCGACATATGAATGATCCACCCCACTGTATTTATACTTGTGCAGAGTAGCAATTCCATGTTGCCCAATGTACCCCATTTCCTCTTAACGTTGAGATGCTCTTCACGATACACCAAAGTCTATTATTACCTGTTTAAAACTGAAAAAAAAATTAGAAATAGAAGATTCATACTCAAAAATCAAAATTAATTTTCTGCGCTAAAATTAGCAAAACAAAAGAACAAAAAAGTTATGCTGAAAACGGGAAGTGAAGCCATTCTACGATTTCAGCGGAAAAGGGGAACCACATGACTCGGTATTAAACAAAACTGAAAAAAGTAATTTTTTATCAATAAAACAAAAAAAGTAAAAGACTTCAAATAGATTGTAAAACAGATTATCTCTGCTCTATCACTAATTAGTAACTACAAAGATTTGTTACTGAATACTGTATAAACGTCAATAAAAAATGAAAAGAAAAACAAAAAACTGGAGTTACAACCAATCGAAGATCAAACAGCAGCTACTAAAACTAAAACGAGATCTAAAAACTAACAAGCGTGATTACAATTGTAAATGAAGAAACGCAGGAAGTATAGATCTGAAGAAAGAATAGAATAAGAAAATAAAATTAATAGAAAGAGAGATATGTTTTTTGCACCTTTGAGTTGCAGAGATCGCGAGAGAGCGAGGGGAAAGAGGGTGACCGAGAGATTAGTTATCCTCGCTTTTGTAGGGAACAGCGGAAAAGGGAAAATTTTTCGAGACCTCCCGCCCTACTGGAAAATAATGATAAAAAAAATAATTAATTTTTAGAGTAAATTACAAAGAACCCCTACACTATGAGAATAATGACAAATACACCCTGTTATTTTCGACAAATAACCCCTTAACTTTAAACTTTTACGTTGCCACAAAAGACTCCGTCCATTAAATATCTATCACTTAATTTTAGAAAAGATTTTCAATTGATTGTTCAAAGCTTTTTTAAATCCCAAATTTTCCATTTTATTAATTGTTTGAAGGATTTTATAATTTCAGTTATATTTTAATAACCCGATTTCTAAAATCATTGATTCTCATATGGTTAAAATAGTTGAGGTGGCAATATGCATACATAGCTTCTTTTTGGGTAACAACAATAAACTCTGCAATGGTGTAAAAGATGTGATTTTTTTTTGTTTATACTGTGAGATTTGTCTCTATCTGACAACAATATACCAAACCAAGGTTTTCAAAACCTACCCAGAGAACGAATTGGTTAGGTTCTGGTTCTCAAGTCGAACGGAAGGTCCGACCATTCAAACCAAATGAGTAGCCTGTTCTAACAAAAAAAAAAACTATTAAAAACGTTGAACAGCTCAAACGATTCAACCGCCTGGATCAATAGTTTACTGACCAAATTAATGTTTTTTTGGCAAAAATCTGATTTAAAAAAAAAAACGAAACTAATCACCTGACTGATTCCCGATTTTTCCGATCTAACCGTCCAATCTTGCCCGATTTTGAAAACCATGTACCAAATAGTTGTTCATCGGTGAGATAGTGGTAATAACTTCTAGTGAAGAGTGATGTAAGAGTCTTGTCAAATGGCTCTTGGGTAGTATATTTGTACAAATTAGGGTTTAATAATGAAAAAATCATGAGCAAAGAATAATAGGCAAAAGGAGGAATGATTTTGCCTATTTTCATCAATTTAAAAATTTCATTCCATGCCTCTTGATTTAAGAAGATGCTAACTTAACGGTTATAGGGATTTTTTTTTACAATGTAAAAGTTCAGGAGGGCCATTGTCAAGAAACTAAAATAGGGGGTATTTATCAGTCTGACCACATGGTACAAGGGGCTTTTTATAATTTACCCTAAACCTTTTCATCGTCAGGAAAACAAGAAATAATTCAGATTGTTTGGCAAAATGGCAAGGGTGGTTTTCAGAGGGGGGGAAGCAAGTTTAGAAATGATTTGCCTTTACGAGAAGGTAGACACGTGGACACATAAAAAGACAAGTCCATTTTTACTTTACAGTGCGTCTTTCACAGTTTTCCGTTCTCCCAAGTCCCACCCGGCAAAATTTCCAAGAGCCACAGTCTGAAAAGATTGTATTCATGTTTGTTTTGTAATGCGTCATTTCACGGCCCTCGTGGCAAGTTGAAAAAATTCGTACAGGAGTACTTGCGTTCTAAGAAGACAAAGGTACACTCGTCGACCGTCGTGTGTTGAGTTCTAAGAAGTGGGGTGTGGAGTGGAGCACTGGCGCCGAAGACATCTATCAAAGTTCCAATTTGCCACGTCATCATTCCATCTGGCCTTTCTTTTTTATTGAGAGCAATGTTGCAAGAAGCACACGTTCCCTATTTTTACTGCTTTGTTTCAAACGAAGTTTATGAAGAAAAAAAGCATCTAATCTTCGCGAATAATACAATGGTTGGATGATTGATGCTAAAAGAATCATCATCTACTGACTACTGCTGATATTCTGCATTAATAAAGCTTGATAGTGTTCCTTTCGGCAGGGCATCTCAATCTTTTTGTTGACGTCTTTTTCGCTACCACGCCGCGTGGTACGAAGCTTTTCTTTTTCGCTACCACGTAGTACAAAGCTTTTCTGACTTGAGTTGTCCACCCTTAATTAAATTTTATTCCAGGCATGATGGCTTATAAATAACAATGGCACGACACCTGTCAATTCTATGCAGAAGAACTCCACTGTGTGAACGGGAGCCAATTCTCTCCCAATTTCTCATAGGCAAATGCTAGTATAGTAGTATATGTGAAAATTTATGATGATAATGAACCCCCCCCCCCCTTGATATGCCTTCCCCATTATAACATGGGTCCCATCGGGCCCATGAAATTTGTAGCACGATTCGGTCATTCTTATCTGGCGTTCACGTGGCTCCTGGAAGATACCTGAGAAGAAGAAAAATTTCCGGAGGAAGTTATCCGGCGGGAACACTCCGATGATTAAATTAGTACTTGGTAGGAGAAGCAAGGAGGAAGATGAAGATTAGGAGTGGAGATAGCGCGTACCGTAGATGAATCCCCCTCCCACCTTGATGCTAAACTCCTTATAGCAAAAATCTGTTACCCCTCCCCATCGGCCTCTGATAGGGCGGGTATAACCGTCACTGCCAACCTGCCGCAGCCGTTATTTGCAGGGCTGAGGTGGCACGCGCGGGGCCGTCACCGCTGGGTACGTGTCTGTCAGGTGTAGGACACCTTCTAAAGGTGGCAGGCACGACGCTGCCTGACAAGGGACACGGTTGCTGTCACCAGATTTGTCTGGTACGGCGATCGGGTAGGAGATCTTCCTGCCTTCCCTCATGCGGCTCGCCGAGCTGCCACAAACTAGGGTGCTTCAGGGCAGATGGGCCCCTGCCTCGAAGCACCGAGGTGCTCCTCCCCAGGTGGGTAAAAGCTTGGCATCCCTTAGAGGAGAGCCCGGGCTCTCCAAGCTAGGCGGGGGATTGGCTCACTGAGGTATTAGCCCTCGGCGAGTTGACTGTCTTTGACTTGGCGTTTCCTCCGTGCCGAGTCGGGATCGTGCTACTAGGCTGGACTGTTCACCAAGCCAGGTCATGCGCACGTGTCCTAGGTTCATGGGATTGAGCCAAATCGTCCTCCATCAATTGCCCCCCACTCCCCGTGCTGGGGACGAGGGGCCCCAATGCGGGGAGTTCATGGTTCGCCGGGCGGATTTGGTTCGGTTACTCATACTGCCGTGCTAGGCGGTTCAATGGCTGGACCGGCCGGGCATTTGGTTTTTTACGGAAAAAAAAACCCACGTCTCGTGCAACTCACGCGCGGACTTCAGGCACTTTATGATGCGCAGATGCCAAAAAACGCGCTAAATTGAATTTGTGTCGGGAGCCCCGCAGCCGGTTTCTTTGAGGTCCGTTGGATTGATCCAATCCTGACCGTTGGTCACCGGGCCCCGCGTCTATAAATAGTGGGGTTCTGGCATTCTTTTCGGTGCTAAGTAGCTTTCGCTTTGAGCTCACGTCTGAAGTCTCTAGCTCGGGTCTTTTCAACTCGTTTTCGCCTATTTCAGGTGAGTCTCTGAGTCTTTCCTTTCCTTTTCTTTCTTCTTTTCTTAGCCCGTCCTCCTTATGTCTAGCGAGAGTAGCTTCTCGGATGAGCCTGGGGTGGGCACTTCGGGTCATGGTGACCCTTCCCCAGCCCGACCTGCCCGCGAAGCACGGGCAGTTTCGGGTAAGTTGGCGTCCACCTCCCATCAAGGTCGGGTGCCGGACCAGTTCGGTCCCTCTACTCTGACACCGGAGAGGCTTCAAGACCTCATCCAGCAGTTCAACCTTCCTTCTGAGTACAACTACAGCCTTCCCACCGGTAATTTCCCCTGGGAGCACGGTCCGGATGAGGTCGTGATTTTCAGGGAACAACTCGTCGGTAGGCTTCATCTCCCTCTTCACCCCCTTATCCCCGAGGTGTTAAGGCGTTTCAACATCACGCTGGATCAGCTTCACCCCAACGCCATTCAGAATTTAGTGGGGACCATTTCCCTCTGCCATGAAAAGCGGTTTGCTTTGGACGCAGACATACTCTGCTCCATACTGCTGATAAAAAAGAGCGCCTCTAGCGCTCCCCCTGAGCACGGGCAGGTTTACTACTTATCTCCTCACCCAGGCTTTAAGCTACTGCATAAGTTCCCAAGCAAGGTCCCGGCTTGGAAGCGGGGCTAATTTGTGGTCCGGGCCAGCACAAGATGGCCCTTCCTTACCAACTGGAGGGTGGCTACCCAGGCGACCAGCATCGCCCTCAACCAGCAGACGTGGGAGGCCTTCCACTCGTCGGCTCAGGCTGAGCTCGATCATCGGGAATACATCACCAAAGAGAAGCTCGCTCAGGCCGATTTGAGCTCGGGTAGGTCTATTTCTGTCTTTTGGCGCTTTGTTTTTATCTGCTTGTCGTTTTTGGATTTACTGACACCAACTTTGTTGGAGGCCCCATGGACGAAGAAGAGAGAATCACGGCTACCCGACTCCTTAACCAAATGAAGAGGAGGAAGAAGCGGACCGCCAAGAAGGTCGCCAAAAAGGCTCGTGTGGAGTCACCGAGGGCTCCCTCCCCCAAACCCGATCATTCCCGGGCTCCTGCCCCCGAGACCGGGCTCAACAGTGCCCCTCCGGTGATAGATCTGGAGGGTGACCTTCCACCCCAAAGACCTGAGGCTGCGAGGGGGTTGGAGAACGAGCCAGTCGGGGTTACTACTGAAGGTCCGAGCTCAGCTGGGGCGGTCGCTGAGGCTACAGAGGGGTCGGTTCAGCATACTGCAGACGCGGCGGCGTCCAGCTCGGGGACCGAAGAGGAAGAGTCCATCTTGGATCCCGAGGTCAGCCTCGACCGAAGCAAGAGGGGCGTCGTCAATGCAGAAGTCATGAGCTGGGCCGAACTCTCCCCAGGTCAGCTCGGAGGTCGCACGGCAACCAACATCTTGCTGGTAAGTTCGTTTTTTGTGAGCAAACACTTTATCTCACTTCGCTGCTTTCTCCCCCTTTTTTTTTGGCTGACTAGTTTCCTTCTGTTAGGCGAACACTGCCGTGCACGCCTTAACTTTCCAATCTGATAAACACCTGAGGCGCGCTTTGGCTGTTGAGGAGTCATCCCGTGTGGCCCATGCCGAGCTGAAGGCAACACAGGACAAGGTCCATCAATTGGAGAGTGCTGCCGCCGCCCAAAAAGGTCTGAACGACACCTTGGCACTAGAGAGGGAGGAGCTGGCCCGGGAACGAGACAGACTGAAGGCAG